ACTTCTAGTTTGACATTGCAATCAATATGGAGGGACTTTACATGTTATGTTTTCATTTACTGAGTTCACGGAACCACCTTAGCTGAGGTGTGCTAATACAGAACGTTTTCATCCCAAGATTTTGTTAAACATTTTCCCAAAGTGCTAAATTTTAGCCTAAGCATCCGTTTTCTGTTTTGACTTAAATCTTCGGAAAATTTTGTGTGAATGTTTGAAAAACATCTCAGAAATCAGAGCTATAATTCTGATTTGAAAAAAAAATTGTATTTTACGAAACTGGGATTTGGAAACTGCAAAACCAGCAAAAAAGAAAAATGCCATTTTTAAAATCAGTGTCACATGTGTAATTACAAGCTTTTAAGAGGACGCAATTCTAAAAAAAAAAATTACTGCTTTGTTTGCTTTCATGCATTGGTGAGTTGCGGTTTTGGTTTATAATGACATTTAAAGTTCATTACATGTAGTTTATTCCCGGTTTCCAATCAATTGTCTTCTCTTCGATGAGATGTCAAGAGCAACAAAGGTTATACATGGTTGTTGGGGGGGGGTTCTAACGCATAGAGAGACAGCGAGACAAATATTTTATGACTTTTTTGTTGGCCATCAAATTGATTTCATTTAGGTTTAGAAATACGGAGATTGCCGTGTGGCATCCCTCACTTCCTCTTTCGTAGAATAATTATGTCTGGTCGGAAAGACTGACAACAACTTTATTCACCCATTTCCCTAATTTCCTTTTTCAATTCGGCATTATGTGGTTTCATGTCTTATAACAACTTGGAACTTTTTCTTGAGACATTTTTAAGGCGTTTTTAGGTACCTGATAGGCCACACTCAGTCGGTAAAAAAACATGAGGCAAAGATTGTCTTTGACCTCAAGCACATTATGTTTATTTCATTTTTACAGTAAATGAATAAAAAATGTTGTGTTTTGCCTTGAGAAAGCTTGTATATCCGCTATTTTCCTGTATGGAACTGGGTATCCTAGTTAATCCAGCCTAAATTTGGTATACAAACAGAGCCATTTCCAAGAAATCCTTGCTCACTAGGATAGCCAAAAAATGGTAACCATTACATTTACTGATTTCCGTTTAAATAAATGGACAGTTTTGAAGTAAACAGGATTTTCTAGTTGCAGATCTATTAGTCACCCCAGACAAATAAAAATAATCCTGTGATTGAGTGCAATGCACTCTAGGAGCACATCATAGCCAGCATCCCCGCTACAAATATCGACGTTTTGTATCACTGTTTAATGCACAATTTTCTTCATTTTGGACACTTAAATTGTTGAAGTCTCTGCATGTGGAGGTCTTAAACGACTACATGTACTCCGCTTGACTTTGTGCACGCCCACTATGATTTTCTTCAGAAGTGAGCAGCTTTCTTAAGCTACCGGCTTAATCTCTGTGAGGGTGTCTCTCCGTCAAATGTCACAGTCCCCCAAGTCAAGGTTTGTATTGACATGTTGGCTACTGATTTCCCGGTGTATGTACTATCCACGGCGAATGCAAACATCAAGCCAGGTAACATGAACATTGCATCAACGTAGTAGCATGCTAACGAGCCTCGTACCGAGCACGTTTAAACAAATAATTTGTGTAATTTCCCCTTACTTCCGTATGGAACGTTTCCGAACACGGTTAATATTTTAAGGCATTTCGTTTGTACGTTGGAAGTTTTAAGGCTTTCGAAAGAGAGGATAAAAGAAAGAAATATCGAATCAACAAGAGGGGGGTCACAAACACTGACGGCAGTAATAATCACAACAAAAGGAATATTCTATAATAGTTTTGTAGGATTTACAAAAACCTTGCATATTTCCTGCCATTTGAAATTGTTCTCAAAAGAGCGTACTGACAAGGGCCAGCTTATCGGCCAAGCAAACACCACTGCCTTCGCATTGTTTCGTGGAAAGCACTGTCTATCAAAACATGTCGACAATCATCCTCTGCTTTATAATAAGTGGCAGTGTCAGTACCTTGCCTGGGATTGAAATGGTTATTCAAAATGTTGCTGGTTATTAACAGTTAACGTTACCTTTTCAGACAAACCACAGCACGCAGGAAAATCTTTCAGTAAATTATCAGAAATAAGGACTGTAGGCCTACCCTTGGAACGATTTTCATTAGCAAACGGTTAGCTCAGATCCTGTATTTGAAATAAAATGATTGATTAAAATGATTATACATGAAGTTCCGAAATGTCTTAAAGTTCCCTTCAGAATAAACCGCAGGCCATAGAGAACATGAGGTATTCCGAAATTTTCAAGATCGAGGGACGGTGGCGTATCCAGTATACGTGGGGTGGGGGTGAGATGGGCCAGTGGGTTGGGGGTCAACTTTTCCCCCCGTAGCACTGAAAGCGGCAAATCAGTGTTATCACCTTCCTTTGGGAGAGGATACTTTCGCGGCAGAAGGAAATTTTAGTAGTAGAGAACTACCGGTTCTGCGTCAACCCCCTTTTCCACTCTGTTTCCTCCTCAAAATTCTTCGTGTAGTCGATGCTATAGAATCCTATTCCGTGGGGAGACAACAAATTGTCCACTATTTGTAATCCATCGGCGATTTTTTTTGATCAGTATTTCGGATACGTCTATTTTTGCTTGGTAGTACGCATACGGTTTTTCTTTTCGTTTCTGTAATTTTTGTCAATTTGCCACCGGCGCTCGGTAGCTGCCGTTGTTGAGGATTGTATTGCAAATTTTGCAATCGCTGTCCGCGTGTGCCATCTGTACGATTTTTGTGGAGCAAACCGTTTCATAGACTTGCTGGAAAGTGAGCGAAATGGTTTTGACAGTACATTTCGCGTATGGATTTTCTTCGCTTTGCAATAGGTGCAATTGCCCTTTTACGTCCTTTTACTGCCTTGCGGGATACAAAGCCAAAAACATATATATCGTCGACAAATTCGCTTTGGATAGTCTCTAGATCTTTCGGCCGGTCTCGGCAATTTGATACGTAGTCCAAGGTGGAAACGTCGCAGAGCAAATTGTTCTGGTACGGGTTGGACAGTAGCAAAGCGGGACCGCGATGCGTTTTTGGGAGCGCAGGCCGAGTGTTCGCAGGCAAATGGTTTGCACTGGTGTTTCTATCGGATTGGATTTCATCTTCTTTTATAATATAGGATTTATTATTTTAAAAAGCGGTCTGCGATTTCAATGTGGTCGACTGCTTTCCTATATAGCGGCCCAAAAAATCTGGAATATTTGTACTTGGCTAGAATACGTGGCTGGAATATTTTTGGTTGACTCGAATATTTGTGGCCGGCTGGAATATTTTTGGTTGGCTCGAATATTTGAGGTCGGCTGGAATATTTTTGGTTGGCTGGAATATACTTTGTACTTGGCTGGTATATTTTTGGTTGGCTGGAATATACTTTGTACTTGGCTGGAATATTTTTGGTTGGGTGGAATATTTGGGGGCTGGGTAGAATATTTTTGGTCGGCTGGAATATTTGTGGTTGGTTGGAAATTTTTTTTGATCCCCTCAAATATTTGTGGTCGGGTGTAATATTTGTGGTTGGCTAAAATATTTGTGGCTGGGTGGAATATTTGTGGTCGGCTGCAATGTTTTTGGTCAGCTGGAATATATTGGGCTGGGTAGAATATTTGTTGTCGGCTGGAATATTTGTGCTCGGTTGGAATATTTTTGACCGGCTGGAATATTTGTGGTCGGCTGGAATATTTGTGGTTGGCTAGAATATTTGTGGCTGGGTAGAATATTTGTGGTCGGCTGGAATATTTGTGTTCGGCCGGAATATTTTTGATTGGCTCGAATATTTTGGTCGGGTGGAATGTTTCTGGTTGGCAAGGATATTTTGGGCCAAAAAAAATCCTATACCACGGCGTGCAGTAAAGGATATAGGGCATATAGAATAGGAAAGGAATGGGGGCAGGGGGATCTTATGAAAGCGTCTCACGTTTTTAATGTCAACCTCTGCAATTTCTTCGGGTTGAGTGTAAGCTTTAAACGCTTTAATGAGATCTTGTTTGACGACTCTGCCCTTGTGTGTAAATGGGATGTCGAGTGTTCTTGAACCGTTTTCAACGCTGGCGATATGACTGACGCGGGAGGTACCTGAATTGCCTTTGGTTCGTTCGGATGGCTTCAATGAGCTCAGGTTTGGTGTGAAATTTACGCTTGGGTGCCGATAATGGAATGTTATACTGCTTGACAAAATCTGCTAAAAACGCTTTCTTGAATCGATTGAAGGTTGATAATAGTGGTCTGTGTTTTAGGTTGCTCATGTCTCTATTTATACATAGGTTTTTAAAATTTTTCTCATTTTTTCCCGCGACTTGACTTGACGTGTTTTTTATATATTGTTCTCTTATGATAGTCCGTTTATTTAAGGCGATTGTAAACATAGCACATTTTGCTTAGAACAGAGCCGTGCTTTATAAGTAAGTCACGAGTCGAGAGTAGTAGCCGGCGACCGGGAAAGCGAGGGGAAGTCCCTTTGTGTACAGTGTAAGTACCGGGATTATATGTAGATGTAAGTGCGGTAAAAACGTCGGGGTCAAAGGTCAAGGTAAGTGAAGTGGGGAAACACCGGCGGAGAGGAGGAAACAGAGTGGAAAATTGGGTGACGTAGAACCGGTAGTTCTCTTCTACTATTTTGGACAATCGTTTCAGAAACAAAATGGCCTTTTTAGCTTCCCGACCTAAAACCTAACATCACTTCCCCCGGGGGGGGGCTAGGGAAGTAGAGTTGGCGTAGCCTGAATTAACCCCACAGAAAGACGTGAATTCGGGCCGTATCAGTGCGAGAATCCAAAACTCGAACACGCACTTGCATGCCTCGGTATCATTCCATCTTCATAAAATGATCCTGGCGCTACTATTATTGAACACGTTGTGTTGAATTGATTGTAATTATCTGTGTGCACAGAAACATAATATTGCACAGCAAAGGAAACGGCCGCGCAATACAAACACTATTATAGACGACTTGATGTCAAGCCTAGCAAATCACATGACAGGCCACATTACGCTACAGTCATATGAAGTGCACGTGAATCATAAGGGCAAGGAGTACAATGCATGCAGTACATTAAAATACGGCGTCAACATATTTCAACGTTGCCATGTCAGCCATTTTTGTTGGTGAGCCTGTTATCTTTCAAACGTTAAAGACTACAGGCCGTGATGCAGCTGCACGTAAGTGAAGCAGACCTGTATGGATGAGGGAATGACGGTGCTGACGTACGGTGTGGGATCATGGACGAATTCCCCCAATCACGGAGGAAGGATACAATCACTAATGCCGGGATGAGAGACTGAATAAAAGCTCATAGGCCTGCTGAACCCACAGTAAGTTGGACAACATTAGGTACGGCATACTTTTTTTTTTGGACATGTACATATTCACTGTTCAGAATGCTTGCACGTACGAACACCAGGCACCGAACGTGTGTACAACATCATGTGCATGTTCGCTTTTTTGTATTACATTAATTATAAGTGTCTGTTCTGGACAGTTAGAGTTGCTCTGTGGTTAAAGTTCAAGTTGCGTCAACCTGTAACCCGGCTTGCTAGGGGCATGATGCGGACTCAGTCCTGTGACGTGACCCAGTTGTGGTGAATAGACCTACCTGTCATAGTGTCTATTTTAAACATAAAATGTCATCTGACGGTATTTATAACACATTTTTAAAGACGACACGCTCTACTGGCTTGATTTTTAACGCATATATCAGAGCATGCTTTTGGCAATCCAGAAATGCCTCACTACACAAGTAATGAAAACTGACTTTGTGTCATTTTCTACTTTGATCTTTACATCTAATAAGCTTCTGCACGAAACTACTGTCGAGTATCCAGCATTCCTGCTGCAGTGCAAACGAAACACGTGATGTTGTACTGCAATGAATTGAGTTTTGCAGTCATGATGAATGTTGGAAGCCTAACTTCTCGTAATTAAAGTCCAAAAAAACCTGAGAAAAGGAAGAGGGAAACTGTACCAGTCGTCAGTTAAAAAGAGGAAATTTAGACAAATCCTAGGAGAACTTATGCATCTGATACATGTCCTTGGCGAGGGCAAGCATTTTCAAGGGTGTCGATGAATATAGGCCGAGCCGTACATGTATTTTGGGGTGGGGAAAACTTCTTTTTTTGGGGGGGGAATAGTGAATTGTTTTTCATGTAACCCTTCATGGCCTACATAGCCATTCATCATTTCCCCTCCATAATTGTATGACCATTGGTTAGTTTCCTTTTAGTTGCACCCAGACCTTTGAAACACGTGCATGTTATTTGTGGCTATCCGAAATTGGTGTTGTTTCAACCCAATTTGGCAATTAAATTAATATCTGCTTCATTTCCATCCAGAAATATTAACCATTTTAGATTAAAATGAACAATGTGAAATTCCAATCGCGAAAAGTGGGTTACACAACCCAAATTTGGGTACTTGCAGTTTTCCTGCGTGCACACGGCCCCTGAAAACAGGCACCGCCGGACGGAGTTATACATGTGTAGCTTTGTTATCATTGCAGTGAGTGCAACCTTTTTTTGCATTTTAGTACCACCACCATCACTGGCGCCGCCCGACAACTGACAGGAAACGAAACCAACTGTACGTCTACATCCGCAGTATATGTGTACATGTGCATGAACATGTACATACTGCGTATGTCATAATATTACATTGTGTAGTTGTTTCGTTTTCTACTGACCGCCGTGTCGCATAGCATAGGCTTTGAACTTTGGGCCACAGCGTAGGCCTACAGTTTCACGGAGCCCTCGATCCGATTCCAATTCCGATTGTCTACCGGTTCGTGTCTGATTTCTCTAGTCAGGTCAGAATCCTGAAACCCTGAGTCTTTGCTCAAGCCCCGTGCCATAGAAAATGACAGCAACCACTACAAGAGACCAGCGGAACCACGGAAATGCGACAAGGCACGTACAGTTGTGTATGATCACTATCGCGCGCGTCTGTGACTGGGTGAATGGCTACAATCAGACTCAGTTGAGATAATGAGATACATTGTTTGTCCATCCTCACGTAAATGCATAGCTTTACACAACAGTCTTCAAAAATCATCATTTAACCTGTCTATGGGGGCGTGGGTCCGGGAGTCTCCACCGTGACGCTGATTATAAATATATAAAATCATCAAAAAGTGGTTCACCTGTAAAGGAAACTTATACACGAGCACGTGTTTATGTGATTGATGGTATTCTCTTTCAGCTTATGGTTAAAAAATCCTGTGGTATCTACTTAGTAACTTAAGTTAAGCATGATTTAAAACATGGTGTTTTATCCTTGGCACTTGTATCTGCAGACTACAGTTGTAAGTCGATGTAGGCTACATTTTTTCATGGCAGTTTAGGTTATATATTCGAAATTAAAACTTAAAGATTAGTTATTAATTGCTTATGTGCGATTTTAATCAGATTAATTGACTAAAATCTCTTAATCGAAAGCACCATTTGATTTGTAACTGAAGAAAGAAATAATTTAAATTTTGCACGTGTAAGTTAAATGTAAGTACTTTGGAATACCCATGATTAGATCGACATAACTCCAGCTAAAAATCCGATTTCAATAGAAAGATACGATTTTAGTTTTAAAGATCCAAATCGTTGATGAAAGAAATAATAATTAAAAAATCTCCAGCCCTGATTCTACCTTTCTCTTACTATATAGCTTTCAAGGTAAAACCGAGCTGCCTATAGCTTTTCATGCATCTTGAACTTGTACTCTCACTGTTCCCACGATTTAACCCTGTATACTTGATTTAATACGTTCTGGTTATTTCTTACAACCCAGAGACGAGTACTAGGAGAAACGGGAGACAATGGGTGCAGTTTGGAGCTGGCTGCTTGGATCAGGTAGGATGACAACAGTTTGTCCTTATGATTTGTGAAAGGATTCAAAGTGTCCGTCACTGTTATGCAAAAACATTCCAGTGGTTCACAGTATGCGGAAAAATGTGCCAAATACTTTGGTATAGACTCCCTATAACCTTGACCTTTCACCCTGTCACCTGGCTAGATCCTGAGGCCTTTATGGTTGCAGGCCGGTAAATAGGACGAAAACTGCTTGCGCGGGCCAAATCACAATTTGTATGCATTCATATGCTCTACGAAGTAGAACATTTTGTGGCCCATGAACTTGCAGGATTTGTAGAAAAGACAGGTTTAGGCAGGCAAAGAGAGTACCAGCTTGCGTCTGAGTGAGACTTGGGAGAAATTGGGTGACTGAAAACGGTCTATTTTTCGAGAAGTGTAAGGTATCGAAATTTCATTGAATATATTTATTTCCGTGGAAATGAATATCTTCAAAAGTCATAAGTTAATGAATGGAAAATTGAAAAGAAAATAAAAAATCATTAACTGAGCTTTGATTTGATGTGCGTCTCGAACGCCTGAGAAACTCGTGAGTATTCCTGGTTTTTTGAAGTTCGGGTATTTATCACTGTTGGTAGTTTATTTATTGGCCTGAAACCATGTGTTCAGTCGTACCATGTACTTTTCTGTTGTTTTGGCCGACCTTCAACTAATGGAGGCAATTATAGCCTACCCGTTTCTTTGACGATACAAGTTGCCGGACATATTTCCTCAAATCTGTTCCCAAACAGTGTGTTATTGTGTAATTCAACAAGTACATTGTAAAATGGGGCACCTAAGTGGGGGCATTTTTCTTTGTTCATAGGCCTACAGGTGTAGAATGTAAGACCACTTGTCGCATTCAAAGTTGCCAGTAATGGTGCTGTAACTTATGGGAGAAATTTACTGATGCGGGTGTCATTTTCCTGCAGCCTTCAAAATTTAAATGGAACCTCACTGACCAACATGCGTACGTGGCCACAGACGATTTGTGCCCACGGTACGTTTGGAATAATTTCAAGCAGGCCTACTCATGTGGCTGCCTACAGACCTGCGCTTGATTCCTCACAGGGAAAGTAGTCGAAGTATGCGTTCTAAACAATAAATCGCCCCCCCCCAGAAGCTTTTCCTCGACAGTTGGCCCTGAAAGAATTCCTTTTCTTGAAACTTCAAAAAGAGTATGTTGATGTTCCTTTTCCAATTACATGGCCATTCGGTTGATTTTTTTGTTGCTTGAAGGGAATCCTAGCCAAGAGCACCTGCAGCCAGCATCTTTGGGTGCGTCCAACGTCGATTCCATCACACAACATGCAACACCAGCTGCAAATTTTCCACCAAATGTGGCAGTGACAGGACGAAACAATCCGGTTTTTCTCAATCGTGTCGAAGGATCAATATTCAACTTCTATGCGGAGACTCCTAAGAACGGTAAGTGAACATCAGTGTAGTTATATTTCTGGTGTACCTTTTACTCATAATTTTATGTTTTTAACACGACTTTTCTTTCAGGTTTTCGGGTGCAAGTGCATAATTAAGTGATATCCAAAAGAAATTCATGCAAAATTAAGATAAACGCCTGAAACTTAATTTGAAATACTTTTCTTAATTGCCTATGCATAGAAAAGGGGCACTTGGGGATAAATTGTGCTGAGCAGCTGAAGACATATTACTTGAAGGAAATGAGCACAATTCCGATCCATCCAATTCTGCTGTCCACAACGAGGAAGATCAAGGATATTTTCATACAGCTGCTGCTCCGTAAAGAGACGCACAGGACTAGAAGAGCTGAAAAAGGAGTAAGACTGAGGGCAGACTCCAAGGAATGCTACCCAGATAATCCGATAATGGAGCCTTTGAAATCCCAAGACGATCTGATGCAACTCCTGATTGATGATGGCCACGTTGTTGTCGTGGGAACAGCTGGGAAGGGTAAAACTACCCTCACTAGAAAGATTGCGTATGACTGGACTTGCCATGCTTCTGATTCGTGCTTGAGTTTGTTCAAGCTTGTGTTCGTTCTGAGAATGAAGGAGATCCAAGTTGGCTCGGGCATCCTTGATTCAATGCGCAAGATTCTCCCAACGGACGTTGGGGTATCGAGGCGGCATCTCCAGCACATAATACACGAAAATCAGAGAGAAGTCCTTATCATATTTGACGGCTTGGACGAAGCTTCCTCAACTGTACTCGAAGGTCCAGTCCATGATGATGACTACCCAATCAAAGATGTCTTGTCCGCCAAAGCTCTTCGAAATTGCTCAGTGCTCGTTACAACACGCCCACACAAAATGGACCAACTTCGAAGCTACTTTAAAAACTACACAGTCGTTGAGACAACTGGTTTTTCATCGGACAACAGGAATAAGTATATACAGCAGTTTTTCTCTGATGACAAGAGCATTGGAGAAGCTCTTATAAAGGAAGTAGATGTTACTGCTTTTATTCATACCTTAGCACAGTGCCCTATCATGTTGTTGCTTCTGTGCTTGATTTGGAATCATGACCAGACCCTACCCCAACGATTAACAGAGCTATACGAAAGGGCAGTAAATGTGCTGGTCGACCACCTTTCCAGTAAAGGCAGTCCAAATCTCCATGATCCGACGAAAATGGATGCGCTCATAGAGGTCATTGGCAGAGTCGCATTTGAAGGATTGATCAATCCCTTGGGAGAAAGGTTGGTGTTCTCCCCAGAAGAGTTCTCTAACAATCTGGAGTACGCATTTCAGATTGGCATTTTATTTCAGGAGACAAGGATCGTTGTTGAGCACATCGTGAGGACGATTAATTTTTTGCACAAGTCGTTTCAAGAATTTTTCGCTGCCAAATTCTTAGCACTAAAAGCAGGGGGGCAGATACGAGAAAAGCTATTGCCACTTGTAACGTTGGAAACGATCCAGGAAAAGGAGTACCTTCTTCGGTTTTGTTGCGGCATGAACCAAGAGGCTGCCTGCGCGATTCTTGAGCACATCAACGGACTCAGCGAAGATCTGCAAACACCAGCCTACTTGTGGATACAGAGTTTCTCGTTGGTGCTAGTTTTCGAGGCGCAGTCACCGGACTTGGTTAAAGCGGTGGGGTCACGTTTAACACTGAAATACAAGGAAGATTTTTCGGCCATGGTCTACTTTTTGCAATGGCTTCCGGATTTCGTCCGACTAGACAGGCTAAACATCCATGTGACCCATATTCATGCGCAAGCTGCCTCACGCAGTATTCTGGAACAAGTCAGGGTGGACTCTTTATATTTCCATCTCGACCTGACTTCTATGAATTCAGGACAGTTTCTAAATCAGCTAACGGCTCTCAGAGAAAACATTGCTAGCATGCCCCACCAGCCTCATGCTACACGTCTGTATTTAACCACGGATGGCTGTGATAATCATTCCAACACAGAGGAGTGTAACACCGTCGGTATTCAAATCTCCCAGCTTAGTTGCTTCTTTCGAGAAAATCAAACCCTTAAGAATTTTGGCATAGGACTCGCAGGCAACATCATCCGATCAGAAGTGCAGCTGAAGGACTTCGTTGGTACCCTTGTGTCATGCAAGGCGACGTACTTGTGCATTGATGACAACGACTTGCACGGATCACTTGGCATCCTTTCTCCGCTATTCCAGACCTTGACGTCCCTTGTGCTGCGACGCTGCAGCCTGACTGACGATGATATGAACAAGGTGTCTAGGTTTGTGACAGAGGCAAATAACCTTACTTGCCTGTACTTTCACGGCGGAAACTTTAGTCAGGATGCAGTTTACACTCTGATAGACGCCATCAATCAAAACGAATCTATCGATCTTGAGAAACTATACCTGTGCGATATCGACTTAGACCCGTCACTGGTCTCTAGGATGGTCTTGGAAAAAATCCCACACTTGAAGGAGTTTAAAACAGGGTTCTTCGCAAAACGGGAATGAAGGCCTCCCCGACACAAAATCACAGAAACCAGATGGATCACCCGATCTGACTACCCACCACTGCAAGCGAGGTTTGTGTGGAGGAATGACCCTGTTTGGAGCTGGGAAGAAATATGTTATGGTAGGCCTATTATTTCATCGAGAACGCATTGAAGTGAGCTTTTGTCCTGAAACAAAATAAACTTCATGCTATAGATTTGGTAGTAAATATATTATCGTTAAAAATGGATCCTTTCCAGGAGGAAAGAATGCGGGGAAAAAAAAGAAACGAAAATATCATCTGGGATTCAAACCAATAGAGAGCACCCACAATACTAGCTCTTTTCCCATACACAAGATCAAATTCTTCCCTTTTTTACCCACGACCCCTCATAATGACACCGGAGCCGTTTAATTCCGTTCTTAACGTAGTATGTTTCGGCCCTGTTCCGAACGGGAGCGTCTCTCTGTAAAAGCCACATTTGTTAAACAGCGGTGGGTAGTCCAGTCGGATGGAACGATACGACAGGTGTTTCAGCTGGCCATAAAAGAGGCTGGAGTGGGGATGTGTCCATCTCGGGGACAATGTCTACACCCTGCCACTTACAAGGCATGAAGTAATTGTATCCTCAGTGCATGCGGACATAATCATGTAACGCTGCAGCCTGTATCAAACCTCCAATTCGCATTTGAGAAAAATATATTTGCACTTTCATGGAAAAGAGAAGGTGCCTTAATACTCAGCAACGACTGCCATGCCGAGACTCCTGGCTGGCATTCACTCCTCTCTCGTTGAACTGTGTCGTTTATTTAACGTACTGGCCGTGTTACCAGGAGTAATAATGAAGGCAGGCACGAAGTTAGTCAGACCTCTATTTATTAGTGAAAGGATTCTTGTGCACAGAGTATATGCAGCGTTTTCGGTTCAGAGTTGCATACATAGAGAGTGCGCAGCACCATCTTTCGGGCCTGTTTGTTTCACACGGATTGGAATCGCGATCATTGATCTGTAATCCAACGAAGGATCACTGATCGTGATCCAGACAAGCACGGCCTTAGAGTTTGATACAAAATGGCTGTTCATTACCGTGTGACGGTGCAGTAGCACGCAGCTGTTGTTTACTAATTATGTTACATGTGCGCTGATGTATAATCCACCATTTTGGTTTCAACAGTAGGCAAATATCAAAACACAATGACGTCACGCAATGTTTACTGCAGTGCATTGTGGGTGAAAAGTCGGGATACATGTACATGTAGAAATCAAAGATGGCGGACACGTGTGAGCCTTCGCGCGCATTTAGAGGGAGCAAATTTGCAGTCTCGCGGAAGCTTGAAAAAATGTAGCTCTGGCGTTCGTACTTGATACACACAATGGCACGCAACATTTAACGCGAACCAATTTGGAAAATGTAGGTTTCTCAATTTAATAATTTTTTTGACAATTTTCCATTCGCGTGATGTTAGCAATAGCTCACGTATTATCGTTCGTCCCGAACAGGGAGCTGGATAGGGCTTATGGCCTTACACAGATTTCATTGAAGGAAATACGTCACGTGGGTTCACAGATAACGAAGCGCAGATTCTTCTGCCAGGTGCGCGAGCTCGCTCAATGCGTTACACAAGCGGCAGTCATCAATTCGATATTTTCTTTTTCATTCTCATTGCTGAAAATATTTTCACTACACTTTATTCGTTAATCCGAAATTAATCAAGATAGCCAATGATTTTTAGTATATCGCCAAAGGCCATTTGCAAACTCACGTGCAAAACTAGTTTATCTTGAATAAGTAGATTACCATCAAAAACACTATGCACCACACCACATCGCGGTCCAGCACGATCGTGACATCACAGGAAAAGGGTCTATGCGGCAAAGTCGTATCAAGTCTAAAACCAGTTTTGCAGAGACTTTAAGGGGGCAATCAATAATATTGCTCTACTGAGACAACCCATATGTGAAGTTTGGATTTCACTGTTTCTTTGTACACCTGTGTGTGGTGGCATGAAAACAGGATTTGCTCCAAAAGTGTGTATTTTGGGAAAGACACCTAACAGTAAGGATATAGCTTTAATTGGCCAGCAGGCGTATTTTTCCATATGCCCTTCTCTCTTTGGAAGCCTCAAAGTGGGATTTTAGCTTGACAAACTCTGGACGCTGGAGGTAAAGGGGATTAAAGTCAATAGCGTTCGGTGATAATATCCTAAATGAGCCCCGTGCACTTTTAATAGTTAATTGCGTCGTCGGTGTTGATTGTTAACCCCCTCCCAGAAATTTCCCAGAAAAAGTGCTTTTGCCTCCCCCCGGCCAAGTTTCTTGTGACGCGCACGGTTGCGCACACCCCATTCAGCGATTTGAACAAAGGGGCGTTTGAATACAGTGATAAAGAACTTGATTGGGCTGGGTTCCTTACGGTCAAGGCTTGATTTCCAAAGGAAATCCGGAGGTATAAAGTGTCCTCTTGTTTCTTGGAAGAGGAAATTTACACAGAGTTTATACTTCGGGTCTTGTAACATGTATATGTACTGTAGTTGTAGCGTAACGCAAACGCATAAAATTTACCACGCTGGTGAATGTGGTTATTTATAAAGCTGCAGTATACGTGCACTTAAATCGACCTAAGAATAATATCCGAAGACCTCTTTCGGTCCTGTGAGAATCTGAAAAATTAATACTTTTGTGTTACTTTTACATCACATTAATATTGAGTGAAGCAGTCACCCGAGTTTCTCCTCACTCAAGAACTCTAAGAACACCGCCTGTCATTCATTCTCGTCATATTATTATGGCATAGCCTTCGTTTAATAGTGGTGTTCAGGTAAATTGGATGGGTGTAGGTTTCTGAGTATTCATCTTGGCGACAAAGGCTGTCTCCTCGCACACCTCAAAGACACAGGTTTTAATTTGAAGTTGTTCAGTATATACATGAATTGTGAGTTTTTGCAATGCTCAGTTTATGTGCTGCTATCCGAAGGAGTTGACTGTTTTAGTCATTTTTGAAGTTTTGAAATATTACTTTATTATGAAATGTACCTAAGATCTTCGGCACTTCTTTTTATCTTGCTCACCTTGAAATGTTATGTTAGCATGCCATTGTGTGATTTTGCTAAACCCTGTTGTCTTTCACTTTTTTTCACAATCTCGCTATAGTGTAAAGTTTCAATATTTCAAATTCCTTGTCTTTTTTATTTGCAGATTTGATACGCTTGGGATCCAATTTATCCTAATTACGTAATAAAAAAAATTTCGGCCAAATGCAAAAACCTCCTGTTAATTTGTACCTCTGTAGATGCTGAACAGCCTAGTTTAGTCACCTTTAACATGGGGACTTCCCCTGAGCTGCGTAATTCTTTTCCAGAGCCCGCCACCAGCCAAGTCCCATGGGGATTGTATGTAAATATCTAAGCCACGTGCTGATAAAGGATTATTGACAAAGGAAGCGCCTGGGCAAGCCTGGGCCTGTCTCATATCAATGATAGGTCTCTCTTATGTGTCTCTGAGTGTCAACTTTTTGTGGTTATAACGGAAGTGATCTCAAAAGGATCACCTTGGTGCAATGGGCGTAAAAATAGGCTCTCTGCAGTGAATTTAATTGATACACGTATGACGGCCTTTGAGCATGAACAGGAAAAAGTCGGCCCTGTGCAGCGGAGGGTTCAAATACATGTATTCTATATTTATTCAGTGTGTGAAGTAAATGAGTGTTAACATCGAAAGGAAGTCGTACATGATAATACGTATATAATTGTGCTGGCAAAATAGGACAATGAGACTGTTGAAACAATCGCCGTAGTAGGATATCGATACGCCCCGCAAAAGCAGAATTTCGATCCACTGTGAGATAGCATTAATGGAAAACATAATTTGCGTATGGCCCTTATACGTGTTGCAATCTTGAGTAGCTGCAATCAATGGCCTGCCACCGTGGGGTATTGGTCACTTCTAATTTCAGCCGCAGCCATGACTTTGGGACATGGTCATGTGATTATGTGACTTGCGCTTCAGTGCTTCGATACAAGCTGCTTGTGTGTGTTATAAAGGGATGATCATCCGCTCAGCCTCATAATTTTTTACGTCAAGATTGCCTGAGCTGAGTGTGAAGAAGCCACGAAGCCTTGATCTGTACAAAGTGAAGGCAACCTCAAAAGAAGGTTTGAAAGCATACTTCACTTATCTTGCATGAGAAAATACAAACCCGAGTGCATCTTCTCTTTGAAGAACGCTAGGTTAGGATTGTACCCCTTGAATAGTGATATGGTTCATTGTGCCATGAATACACCAGCCAACGCTCTGAACTAGAGTGCAGCACCTCGATCTGAACTGGCTGAGGAGATTAATTACTGTCCCCAAATTGGTGACCATTCATCAGCTGATACGACCTTCCTGATTCAAGACCATCTGTTTAAGGAGACAAGACTCAATAGGACAACGAAAAAGGTACATATCGCTCCCTTTATCTTTATTCTCTAAATTGCCAGGTTGGTTTTTTTATTGCAATTGAGGATTTTCCAGCTTCATTTATACCTTGTAATAATGATGTCTCTACTTCTAAGTGTGAAAATAAAGCTTTATTAACTAGAGCAATTTTCCTCTCTTTGTTGAAAGATCTCGCAAAAGATGCGATGTCTAAGCGATGCCCGAGCTCGGTTATGTCGGGAAAACTTATAATTCATGGTAGACCATAGGTGTAAATTCCAGGGGATAGGCTATTGAATCATCCCAGCTTTTTAAGTTGTGATGAGCAAAAGAATAAAAGCGGATTGTGAAGACTTTTTAGGATTTCCCATTGACTAAAATATTTGCAATATCACTATAGGCCTAAACGGAACACAATTTTATAAAGCCATAAATACGCCATTCTACGAAATTCTACGCCAGTTAGTTCCACCGCTATTTTATTTTCCAGAGCAGCTGTTTATTTTTTTCGAAAGCAGCTATTTTTATTTTGGTGAGCAGCTG